ACATTTACACAATGGAGTACTACTCAGCAGAAAAAAAATGGAACCTTGAAATTTGCAGGAAAATGGATGGGACTCAAAGTACTGGCTCATTCTGAAATGCTTTTCTACAGAAAAGTCAAGAATTAGGTCGCACCTGAATGGAGGCCCCTACAGAATTACAAGAAGTAACTCTTTGGACTACAAACAGTATCATGGAGAAGTGTACCACAAGAGTAACAGAACTGTGCTGTTTTCTGAGATTTTGTTTTTTACTTTTTTGTTGTTGTTGTTGTTTTTTAAATGGAGTGTGCTAGATGTCTCTACAATTTTGTTCAAATGACTACAGAATCTGGAAAAGCTGTTGCTGCTATTGATGCATAACATACTGCTGTTATTGGTTTTTTATATAAATGTAAATATATATATATACATAAAAAACAAATATTCCTTATTTTCTTGAGGTAACGTATACACAGTAGAGCATAGCATTGTCTTTGAAAACAGAAGACTGGTTTATATGCACGCTCTAGCATTTTAATTCACACAAATTGCATTCTGGTTCCAATCTTACAACACTGGTCAGTAAAATCCCCATTCTACAGGTGGCTTCCCTCTCTTCTCACGTGGTGGAGTTCACTGGAACTCCTTCCATCCTTGAATTCCTGGGAAGGTGGCATGCCACGTCTTTCACAGTGCTCTCCCAAGATGATTTCTGGAAGTGACAATTTTCATCATAGCACTTGGGATCTAGTACCTCTCCATGTGTTCTTGTTCAAGGAGCCCCCACAGGCACCTACAATAATACAGGCTACTGCCGTTGCTCTTGGTTGCCCACCAGAGCTAGTTGGTAAGAAACCATATATGTTGGCTGCAGGACACAAAGAAACCAACTGACTAGCAAACTCGTCTGCTGGCTAGTGCAGGACACTGCTACCCAGGCCAGTGGGGAAGAAAAGACATCACTGGTCTTTTGTAGCACTCAACCCTTCATGCTATAATTCCAATTCTAGGCAAAACATGCCCACTGGCTCAAGAGTAACATGACTGTTATGGAGGAAACCAATGGCTTTACAGTCAGATTTCAGGCCTTCTCCATAGGACAGAATTTATGCCTGGCCAAAGCCTATGACCTTGCTGGGGAGTTCATAGGCCCTAGGAAAGAACTTACTATTTCTGTTGCTAAATAGTCACGTTGTCAAACTGCCTTCCAAGTATTTATGTCTACACCTGTAAACTAGTGCTGCTGTCAACCTTGGTCAACCATAGCTTCTTCTCAGTGGGTCGTGGTTAATGCAGAGACTCACAAATGACCAAGATGAATAAGGCTAAGAATAAACTCATTTATATCAAGCCCCTCCTCACACATACAGCAAGGCTTAGGTAATACGGAAGAGGGGAGTGGAAAAAATGTAAGTGCTGGAGGAGGAAGAGTATGGAGAAATACTGTCTTACAGACAGGACACGGCTGTCTTACTCACGAACTCACAGCAGCTATGATTACCTGCACAAATCAAGACCATCAAAATTCCAGCATGGATAGGGAGTGACACAGAGGCCCCACCCATAGCTGAAGAGCTTACAGAGAGTTTGAGAGGAGATGAGGCTATTCATTTATGAAGGCAGGACAGAGGTCTCTATGCTTTATTCGCTGGCTTTGAAGTGAACTACCATTACCCTAAAAAATAGTCTTTGAAGAGGAAATTTGAAAAGAAAAAGAGAGAACTGTACATTTGTCTCCCAAAGCAAGAAGTCAGGACGGAGGGTGGAGGGGGAGCAGGTCTACAACAAGTCAATTACTGAATGCATATATATTGCATACATGCTTTCTTCTAAATTTTCTCCATGATAGAAATAGACTGCAAAATCATCTCTCCCCAAAATAACAGAGACATTTATTTCTTCTTTTAGAAGTTTCAAATATGTTCTGTGAGAGGGTCATACAGTGACTGTCTCGCCATGGGGATATCAGCCCAGCTACTTGGCTCAGTAGAGCTGCCAGTAACAAGCCACAAATGAGTGGTGTGGCTGCGATTCAATACATTCTATCTGTGGAACCTGGAATTTAAATTTTGTGTCATTTTCATGTCTCACATTTCTTTTCCAGTCATTTAAAAATGGAAATCTATTCTTAGTTCCTGTCCTGTAATTGTCCAATGTCTTCTCTCTAGATCAGTGAGTCAGTCATTCTCTCTCTCTCTCTCTCTCTCTCTCTCTCTCTCTCTCTCTCTCTCTCTCTCTTTCTCTCAGTGTTTTTTCTAAAATTCTTTATCTGGAAGCCCAAAACATGAAGCTCTCATACTAAAGAAGCTTGGAGCTGTAGCATAGGGGCAACCCAGACAGCTAGACCTTCCTCAGGTCCACCTCACACTTCCAGTCTGTAGGTTTTTTAAAATAGATAGATAGATAGATAGATAGATAGATAGATAGATAGATAGGAAACCACCACCCTAGCATCCTTAGATTCCATCCATGGGCCAAGCCAATCCCCTAAAATGCTACACACATCTAGACGCTCACCCCTAATCCACCAATGGGATTCCAAGACGGAGCCCATCTGAGTGTGATGATCTTGTCTGAACCAGTTCCTGCCAGCATTGAGGGGCCTTTTTCGGATGGATGTCTTCTCCACCTTAACATGTGATCTTCAACAGGCCCATGGGAGTCACATCTGTCCCCAAGCATTGCTTCACACTGCATTCACCTGGGGATCAGGCCCTAGAGACCCTCCCTTAAAATTCAAGTGTTTTCAAATAAAGATGCAACATGGGTACTAAAAATGTTCACATCTCCCTAGTGCGTCAAATGCATAGCAAATCTGGAAGACACTTCCATGGACACTGAAGAGCTGTGTCTGGGCAGTTAGTCGCCTTGTGAACAATTGACCCCCCTACCACACTTCCGGTCACTACAGCACCTATTTCCTTTTCACTGTCTCTGCTCTTTTGTCCCGTCCCCCCCCCCCCCCCCCCCCGCCCTTTCCTTTTCTCTTCTCTCCCTTCTCCTGCTCCTCCTGACAAAAAGCAGCTTATGGGAGAAAGACTTTAACTGGCTCAAAATTCCAGGCAGCAACCCATCATTGAGGGAAGTCAAGGCAGGAATTTGAGCAGCTAATTATATCACATCCATAGTCAAGAGCAGAATGAAATAAATGTATGCAACCCTATTTTCTTTTTTCTTCAGTTCACAAACATTTATTGATTTATCCCTCTAGAGTGTAGACTCTGATGGTACCAAGATGAGCAAGATCACTCCTTAAGAGTTAAGGACATGTCACCTTAACTAGTGCCCTTCAGTAGAGTTAAGGACATGTCACCTTAACTAGTGCCCTTCAGTAGCAGACATTCAACATACTAGTGTGTTCTGAGTTGTGGAGTATGCTAAAAAATAATAATATAAACGTTACTGAAGGCAGGACTTTAGAGTTATTTTCATCTTTTGAAATAGCCCTTAATAGCTCTTTCCACAATTTCACATTGATTCACTTGCTATTTAGTATGTTTATAAAATCATGTGAACTGAAAAAAATATGATAGAAAACTGTGCATAGCACAACTGAAGTTGGTCTTAATAAATCATTTTAAAGGAATTAACATAAAGAAAGTAATTTAGGCGATATTTAAATTATTTAGGAGATCAATGTCAACAGTGGTTCTCTTTTATATTATTTATTTATTTATTGGGGTTATTAATTTATTTTTTGTATTCCAATCTCAGTTCCCCCTCCCTCCTCTCCTCCAGCTCCCCCCACTCCCCCCACCTCCCATCTGCTCCTCAAAGAGGGTAAGGCCTCCCCTAGGAAGTCTACTAAGTCTGTCCCATCCTGTTGTTGAGGTAGGATCAAAGCACCTCTCCACCCCCCAAACCCCTGTGTCTAGCTTGAGCAAGGTATCTCTCCATATAGAATGGGCTCCACTAACTCAGTTTGTGCATTAGAATTAGATCTTGGACCCACTGCCTCAGATATTGTCCCAGCCACACCAGCAACCCTATTTTCTTAATTGTGTGCTATGTTCTCAGCTAGTTTTCTTATACTGTTTAGACTCCATGCCTAGGGAATGGAATGGCACCGCACACAATAGGCTAGGTCCTCCTACACCAATTAACAATCAAGACAACCCCAGTATATTGTATATGTATTCATAACATGAAATAGAAGTGAGATTGTATGATAAACTTAAAGGAAATGGCAAGCATATGGAGAAAGGGGCCGAATGAATATGACTTTA